CAGTCAAAATCAAATAATCAGACCTTGGAATCACTGTGTCTTTTTCAATATCTGCTAAGGGAGCAGGCAAACTCTGTGAATTAAGGTTCGTTATTAATGTTTGTCCCGCATTGTTTGAGTCATTACAGAATTTTACTGCATTATCAGTAATTGTTCGAAGTGTGTGTCCACAAAGTCGAATATATTCGTTACGGAGATCTCTTGTTGTCTGTGAATCGTTTCCCTCCCGTCCATATTTAAAGCGAAATGGAGCATCTTTTTCGGTGATAATATTCAGGTTTTCAGGCAAGCCTTCTATACTTGTTTAACCGACTCAGCGCCACGTACCTACACCAAATGTTGCGGTTGCTTGGATGAGTATTTTTAAACAATGACAGCAAACGCCCCAACTTGTGACTTGTGAATAGTGATGGCACAAGCAGGAACGCAAGGAAACTGTTTTCGTTTGCATTTTATAGTTTTTGTTAGTGTAATGTTTTCTATTTTCTTATAAACTGATTGGCTTGCTTTGCACGTGAGGTCGACATTTAACTTTTGCTCCGCTTCCTGTTGTTTCTTCTGGAAACTCGAACCATAAAGTAACAATTTCTTTTCTAGCTGCTGGCGAAGTTGTACTGGTCGATGGTCCTGCTTCTGCAGAATTGTCATCTACATTTGACTACTGACTTCGATATGTCGCAAGACACCAATAGCTCTATTTACCCAACCCATCAGCGACATCTATGTTAGAAGTTATCATGTAGGTATATCCTTCTGCCAATGGTAGAAACTGTCATCTTGTGTAGTTTACCTTGGTACTGTCTCTTCTCTTGTTCACTTGAATAACGAAGCATAGTATCATGTTGATGCGAGACAGTTGTATACATTTAGAATTGCGCTTCGGTTGTACGAATCCACTTTACTGTTACTATAATACAGCCTGACAGCATCAGGAACGTTTCCCTTGCACCAAGCCTGAGTTTTATGTCTGGACTCAATAAGGGAGATATTATCGTTGCTTAGTTGAAGTCCATCGCCGATTTTTGTTAGAATCGTTGAAAACCGCTCATCGGTTTGTCGCACAACACGAACCAGTGGGAAGTAATCAATGCTATGCCAAAGAATCGGACCTCCTAATTGGTTGACAGGCATAGTATAACATGGAGTTGCTCGTACAAGTGGAAGCTGTCTGAAATTTACACATAATATAACGTGAATGTCTCCGAAAGGCTTGTCGTATATGCCAGTAATCTGCTGCAATCGGTAGTTAATTTAATAAAGAATAGCTGAACTTAACATGCTAATCTCGTCGATGAAAACAGCTTTGACGCCTACGAACATGTTTCTGTAAGCTTGCAAATTTTCTGTGGATAAGAGTTTCGTCACGCTAGAAGTTGTAAGACGAAACGCCGAATGAACTGTAGTGCCACCAAGAGGTACAGCGGCTTTACCTGTGCTTGCACAGGCAATGTAGGCGTTGTACATTGAGTTGTGCTCTTGAGTGTAGCAGTTGTATGTCTCCATGAGGCACTTTAACGTGTAAGTTTTTCCACAGCCTGCAGGACCCGTGAAGAAAATTTGAACTGCATCAGAAGTGTAATCTCCACAACCATGCAATCGATGTATAACCTCAAGGATGATCTGCCGTTGTTCCGGATTAGTTGTTCGTACAAGTTCACAATACTGCTACTTTGACATTACATTGCTGCGTTTCTTTACAATCGAGAATCCTTGTCGTGGGACGATTTGGTGAACATCATCGACGTTTTCGGCACCATGCTCTCCTAACAACTGTTGAACAAAGGCTGTTCTGGATTTTTGTTCCCGCAAATTACTGTTGTCTTCGTTTTGCAAAATCATCATCGCTTCAAGTTCTCTCATGACGTTTTGTTCAAATTAGACTCGAATTGACTACGGCGTTCCATGATCGCGTCTTTGTTGTAGTCAAATAATTGGAGAAATTTATTTTGATCAACAATTTCTAACATTTCGTTGCCGAATTGTACTAAATCTTCTTCGTCATCCACGTGCATGTCGTCCTCCTCGTCAACGAAATCATTAGCTTTAGCATACCACGCTAGCTAAATACACTTGTTTTAAAGATGCAGGACACTCTTCATAGCACTGGACTATGTTTTTGGTATTATGAGACATCAGTACTGTTTTCGTCAAGGCCTTCGCGGTCCATTTGTTGACGACGTTTGCGGCAACGTTGTCTTTCCCTCGGCCATACTGTTGGAATGTACGCAACTTGATGACTTTTCTCGCTCATTGGTTGACGTAGGAGATACCTTGGTGTTTCTTGCACTGACATCTCGACAGCGTTAAGCAGCTCGATGCTTAAAGCCTTCAACTGGTCTGTGTAGTCCTGTTCGGGATGCACTTGCATCATCGTAGTAAACTCACGACGTAGATTGCCCATTCCACGAACTGATTTATTTACGTACTGCACAACATACTCTGCGCAGCTGTATTCATCCAAGATAAATTGAATGTCGATGTTTGAGTTGACTTCACCAGCAATGTACGGATTGAACGTGTTTGTCATAAGTTCGTCAAAGTTTCAGCTGAACAGAAGAGTTGGTCTGCGTAACGTTGAGCGCACAATGTCGAGGTATGAATCGTGTGTCAAACCATTAGCTTCAAGAAAGTCATCCATGCCCGCGTACCGACGTTCATCGAGTGAAGTACGCAGCTCTTTCGCCTTCTGTTGTAGTGTTCGACGGCGTTTATCAGATTCGAGGCATTGGAACCAATACACGAGTCGTTGACATTGGCCAGTACGGAATTCCGAATCTACAAATTATCTCACCTCGCTTTGTGCATGTGAAAGTATGTTTGTGTATCTGGTTGGCGTAGATGGAATTGTTAGGTACATCATTCTGGGCTACCGTACTCCATTTTTCTACGAGCTCAATGGTTTTTGGCATAAAACCATTGAGCTATTAGTCAGAATTCAATTGATCTATGATTATAAATGGTTTTTGATACAAAAAAAACTACATAATATGGGTTTTCACGACAGTAAATGTGACCATAAGCTTACCAAAAATGGATTTACGACCTATACAGTTTTTAAAGTACATTTTTATGGGGTGTATTAACCAAGAATAGATTTTTTCTTAGACGTAAATCCAAGCTAACTTTAAAACTAAAGAAGATAGATAGGTTTTGATGTAAATCATCAAAACCTATCTATCTTCTTTTTCATTTGCCAAATGTAAGAACCTTTCTCATAGATCATTTTTTTAAAACTTCAAAAACAAAAAAGTTATTTATTTTTATGTAAAAATAAAATAGTTTTTCTGCTCTCCTGAAAAGTCGGGTTTTGGTTTATACGACCTTTCTACCCAAAGGTATCGATATGGACGGTGTTTAACCTGAACGAGATGAGGATGTAGTTGTCGCTTCTAGAGAACCACTGGCAATAGCCAAGTTAGCAGCTTGGCATAATCTGTTGTTTCGATCTCTTACATTACGTGCTTCCCTTGCAGCTGCTGCCTGTGCAGGAGTTTTGGATGCAGCAATCCGCTGTCTGTACTCACGTTGTATTTGTGCCCTTGTTTTTGGAGCAGTAGTTATTGGTTTTGCAAATGGTGTCGCATTAGCCAAGTTAGCAGCTTGGCGTAATCTGTTGTTGCGTTGTCTTTCGTTTTTTGATTTTCTCGCAGCAGCCGCCTGAGCAGCAGTTCTAGATGCTGCGATACGCTGTCTGTACTCACGTTGTTTTTGTGCTTTCGATTTTGGAGCAGCGATTATTGGCTGCGCGAATGGCGTTGCTAAAATAGATGCTACAGCATTTTCGACCTCCATTGGTTCACTCATCGAAGGTAGTGGCTCATTCGTAAAATCCTCTGGTTCGTCAGGTTGTTTTTCCATGGTGCGATTGTAAGCGGTTCTGCAAAATGAATTGTCGTTCGAAACAATTTAGATTTTTTTTTTCATAAAATTGTTCGTTCATTCAACACTTGAATAAAATTTATTGTTTAAATTTCTACTAGAATGTTCAAATTTAATTTTTGTTTTTATTATTTTACAGAAATAAATTTTGTATTGACATTATTTCTTTCAGCAAGTAAACTGAATAAAAGTTGTTGTTCCATTAGTTACTTAATTATCTTTGCAAATTTAATTGTAATTTGTTGTAAAAAAGTAAAAATTTTGAATAATTTATTATAAGAATAAACTGTGATTAAATTATTGTTCATATCTTAAATTTAAAATTTGGAAACATCATCAAAATTTTTGTAACTCTAGCTTTTAAAAAACCCGCCTCAATGTGTTTGATATAGGAGAAAATTATTCCCTTTGACGGCTGGCTGGTCCAACCTGTCATTTTTGACACATTCTTATTATATGTGGAAGATTTAACATCAATGTTTTAATTTTTTGAATAGCTTCGCTCGATAATTATTTCGATCGAATAGTAAAGCAATTGATTTTTTACTCATCGTGAAATATTTAGTTCTGTTAACTTATTGTTATAGTTTTGTCAATTATAGCCTACAATCGCTGCACTAGCGGACCGATGCTATTTATTTTAATGATGAAAGCACGAATATTCGACAATACATCACTGAACATATATTTAATATCGAAAGAATCATTACCTTTAGCGCCGCAATTATCGTTGCTATAAACAATTGACACCACATTCACTTTTCACTGCACTTCATACTTGACGAAAACATGTAAATGTATTATTGCATAGCAGCTGTCCACGCGGACGCATCGCTCGCAAGTAGGTGAGAGGCAGATGTCGAACACTGCCGAACGCGGAGGCCGATTGTGCCTCTATGTGGCGCGTTGCGCGCCTTGGTTGCACTTCAAGCCTTAAATGGGACGCCTCAGAGCGAGGTAACGCCGCATTAGTCATTATTTTTCGTGCGTGCAGCCGGCTCCATCGAATTATAAGACGTTATCACGTCAAAAACTTCCCGTTACCCCTCTGCATCCTCTCCATTTCACGAACTTTTTGGCCTCCCCTCGTAGGTTGATGCAACAATCTACTATTAACTTACCTACTGTAAGATTCGTGGTTTTCCCTATCCGATTCAGCGTAAGGTGCCCAGTGTGCTGGCGTCGCCTCGCCTTCTTCGCGGTCGGTGCTGTTACTCGTACCTATAAAAACAAAACACATTGTCACCAAAAAAAAACGGCAGTTACCTAAGAAAGAGATGCCTAGAGCTTTATCGGTGCATTAGTTAGCAAAAATCTCTATATGATAACGGGCGCAAGAAACTTATCAGCATTTTAAAAAAGTAGCAATAAAATTATGGCGTTACCAATGTATTTTAATAGTTTTATGAATATTTACGTTTTTTGTTTTATTTGCACCTATATTTTCAACTAATGTGCCCCCAATGTAATACCATTAAAATATCATTTATAAAAATGCATATAGGTCAGAAGCGAATGCTTTATACAGCTCTTACGCCCCTGACTTTATTAATGCTTCGATCATTTAAGTATTGATCAAGAAATAATGTAATGCAAGTTTTAGAGGAAAAGTTTGTTTGATTTCAAAGATGAATGAGATTTTGAAGGATGTGTGCCCGCTTTGTCGAAACGAGCACTTGTTACACCGATTCCGAAAGGAGAGATTAGCAATGGCATTGAAAAGTATCGATCTATATCAAAGTTGTGTACGTTTGGTAAAATTTTGTAAAAGACTGTTACCGATCAGCTATACATCGTCATATCATTCTAAATCAGCATGGTTGCCTTAGAGGTCGTAGCGTCGATACAAATCTTTTAACTTACACGGAATTTATTTTAGATGCTTTAGATAATAATTTGCAAGTAGACGTAGTGTATACCGATTTTGCCAAGGCATTTTTTTTATATTTTTTTTTATAGATAGGTCCGACAAATGACTCCACCCCACCTGATGTCAAGGGATGGTGAAGTCCAGACGTGAAGTTAGCTGGTAAAGCAGTTCTACCTGCCACACCAGCCATCCTCATCTTGCCGGCCTGCATGTTGCTTCTTCACGCCTCTTTTAAAAGATCCCAGGTTGTAAGAAGGAGGAAACACGTGAGCAGGCAGAGCATTCCATTTACGGATAGTGCGACATAGAAATGAGTCACCAATTTTTTTTTTGTACGCGTTGGAATTGTGGCCACAGTTAGACAGTGACACCGAAGGCCAGCGCGCGTGGTCCTCTGAAGGAAAGGGTAAGGTGGAATAAGAGAGAATAACTCTTCAAAACACTCGCCGTGGTATAGACGATAGAACGCGCTTAGTGACGCAACGTCACGGCGTAATTAAAAAGGCTCGAGGTGTTTAATCACCTCCTCATCGCCTATGATGCGGATCGCACGCCGCTGTAACCTATCCAAAGCATCGAGCAAGTACTTAGCGGAACCATCCCAGAGGTGCGAGCAATATTCCACGCAAGACCGCACCTGCGTCTTATACAACAAGCACAGTTGCTATGGCGTGAAAAAGCGCCGCATCTTGTTCAGGACTCCGAGTTTGCGTGAGGCCGTTTTTACCACGCTTTCGATGTAATTCTTTGAATTTAAGTCACAGCGAATTTAGATACCGAGCATGGTGATACTACTCTCTAGCCCCAGTGTTGTGCCCTGAAGAGAAGGACATGAAAGGAATGGTGATGTTTTTGCCGTGAAAGCGCAGACCTGGGTTTTCTTAGCATTGAACTCAACGAAGTTCTAAGAATTTGATAATGTTTGCAATGAATGTTTACTTTTTAAGCTTTGGCGTTTCAGTATACATGGCCATCTCTTCAGTTGGATAAAGTCTTATGTGGAAAATCGCTTACAAGCTGTTTCCGTGGGAGGATATACTTCTCAATATAGATCTATTACTTCAGGTGTTCCTCAGGGCTCACACCTGGGGCCATTCTTATTTATTCTCTATATTAATGACATCACTGAATGCGTCAATGGGTAAAATATCCTTTTATACGCCGATGATACAAAGATATTTCATAATTTAAATGACTGTATTGGGCTGCAAAACGATTTGAACAATTTTGAACCTTTTGCGTATCAAACAATTTATTTTTAAATCCTGATAAATGATTTGTCATAAGTTTCAGTAAGAAAAAAACTTATTTAAGTTTTAACTATAAACTATGCGATAAATCAATAGCACGTGTTAGACAGATACGTGATCTCGGTGTAATAATTGACTTAACACTTACCTTTGTACCTCACATCGACAACATCTTAAGTAAGGCTTTCAAACAGTTGGGCTTTATAATGCGTGTGGGAAAACCTTTTAAGAGACTTTACACATATAAAATTCTTTATAATAGTTATGTTCGCAGTCAGTTGGAATTTGCAAGCGCTGTTTGGAACCCGCTTTATAAAACACATAGTGCGAATAGAGAAAGTACAAAAAAAGTATGTAAAAGCGATTGAATATCGCACTGGAAACAAATACGTGGATTATGTCACCACCATGCAAAGATAAAATGTATCATCTTTATGTTGTCGCCGTGAACGTATCGATATTTTAATTCTTTTTAAAATCATTAATTGTCTGGTTTTATAGATGCTCCTGCTTTGTTACACCCCTTTCTTTCAAGATTCCCCGTCGCTAAGAAAGAGCTTGTAGGAAGAAACCTCTTTTTAATATTCCCCGTAGTCGGACAGCATATGCAAGTAATGGTTTCATAAAAAGAGCATGCAGGTTGTATATTGATAAATTTGTGAATTTGGACTTATTTCGTCATAATTTGTTACATTTAAAAAAATGCAGTGTACTTTGTAATCTGATTAGGCTATTCTTGTAAAATGATTTTATAACTTACATTAATATTATTAGATACTAGCAAACCAGTGAACCAAATGTTCACCAAAAGCTGATTTAAAAAAAAAAATGTATTTAATTAATTGAGAACTTCGGAGATTTTGTGTGGTTTCCTTTGAAATTCGTGATTTCTCGAAAACCGGAAGTGCTACGTTACTCAAATCCGGTTTGTAGTCTTATCAGACTATTCTTAACTTATAACTTAAACATTCTCTTTATCTATCTCTTACGGTTTGGCCGCTGAAACAGCACCACAGACAGACGGACGGACTTGTCTAATAGATAAGAGATTTATTGCTGGCACAGAACATTGTTTGTATAGTATTAAATTAAAATCAATTTTGCTTTTTAGCCTATATGTGATTTCATTAAGGAAACTGTAAGTCTAACACCAAACTTTTTTTTTATTTTACATTATTTGTAACCATGTGAGACTGTTTGTTTCTTAATAAAAAAAATGACCGCGCCGCCACCGCTGCGGTAAACACTATACTTACACCGCTCTATGGGCGTGATGGACAGGTGCGGGTGGTCGGGCAGCGGGTCTGGTTGCGGTGAGGCGGGCGCGGGCGGTGACGGGCTGTCCAGAGAGATGACCGCGCCGCCACCGCTGCGGTAGACACTATACTTACACCGCTCTATGGGCGTGATGGACAGGTGCGGGTGGTCGGGCAGCGGGTCTGGTTGCGGTGAGGCGGGCGCGGGCGGTGACGGGCTGTCCAGAGAGATGACCGCGCCGCCACCGCTGCGGTAGACACTATACTTACACCGCTCTATGGGCGTGATGGACAGGTGCGGGTGGTCGGGCAGCGGGTCTGGTTGCGGTGAGGCGGGCGCGGGCGGTGACGGGCTGTCCAGAGAGATGACCGCGCCGCCACCGCTGCGGTAGACACTATACTTACACCGCTCTATGGGCGTGATGGACAGGTGCGGGTGGTCGGGCAGCGGGTCTGGTTGCGGTGAGGCGGGCGCGGGCGGTGACGGGCTGTCCAGAGAGATGACCGCGCCGCCACCGCTGCGGTAGACACTATACTTACACCGCTCTATGGGCGTGATGGACAGGTGCGGGTGGTCGGGCAGCGGGTCTGGTTGCGGTGAGGCGGGCGCGGGCGGTGACGGGCTGTCCAGAGAGATGACCGCGCCGCCACCGCTGCGGTAGACACTATACTTACACCGCTCTATGGGCGTGATGGACAGGTGCGGGTGGTCGGGCAGCGGGTCTGGTTGCGGTGAGGCGGGCGCGGGCGGTGACGGGCTGTCCAGAGAGATGACCGCGCCGCCACCGCTGCGGTAGACACTATACTTACACCGCTCTATGGGCGTGATGGACAGGTGCGGGTGGTCGGGCAGCGGGTCTGGTTGCGGTGAGGCGGGCGCGGGCGGTGACGGGCTGTCCAGAGAGATGACCGCGCCACCACCGCTGCCGTTGCCGTTACCGCCGCCGTTGCCTACCGTGCCCGCGCTTGGAGAACGGTAACCGCTGGAGGAAACTGTTTCCGCTGCAAAAGTTTAAAGTATTATTTATTATTATTTTAAATAATAGTTTACTAGCAATTAGCAGTTTTATTTTTTTAAATCAATTTTAAACAATCAATAATTTCATAACAGCCTCTTTTAATGACGGCGTTTAACTTGGCTATTCGTAAACTTGACAACAGTCTGACTATCTAATGCTTTGACGACTGATTTCAAGTTTACAATGTTTGGGTTGTAATGTAATGTGTAAATGTTTTGATCGTATTTGTATGTTCATTAGTGTAATAACATAGAAACAAACACGTGCGATATACAAAAAATTAAGTTTGAAAACTCAATATTGCTAGGTAGTGTTCTCAACATTTTAAACAAAGTAAAGAAAAGTTGGATTTTAAAAATGTTTGTTGAAAGGGGATACCTTTGATTTTAGCTCGATTTTGTTCTTTAGTACAAATTATCTCAAAAAACCAATTTATCATTGACTGACAGATGATAGCTAATACTATTTGTTTAAATTAATTTCCTTGATTGATTGAATGTATCTATAATGCGATTCAAATAATAATAGGAAAGCCAATGACCTCCATCTGTAAAATGTCGCTTGAAAAGTATGGTTTGCAAAAAAAACTCAGAACACATTTTTTGCACTCGGCTGATTCTAGAATAAAAACCAAACATTTTAAAACAAACAATTAAGAAATGTTGATAATTAATATTAGTTGACTTTTTTTTACTTATTGAGATTTGGCTATGAATGGTTGATAACCTAAATCGTCAACCAGATGTCACTTTGTGTTCGTTCAGAAACTCGATTTAAAACTTTCGTTTACTTAAAGGATGCATGTTAGTATGTGACCTGCATGATTATTCATAACTTCTCCGGCGGTAATGGAGAGACGAGCGAAATTGAAGAGCTAGATTCTGATTAATCTTTTTTTTCACACAGTCCTAATAAAGAAATACTATTAAAATCGGTTGTGTTCTTTCTCAACCTTAGTAAATTAAGTTTATTAAAAAATCTGATGTTTTGTCGCACTTAATCTTAGTAAATAAGTTTTATTAAATAGCAATATTTTTTGCTCACTCTACCTATTTGGTTTGATTTGACAGCTATGACGTCAAAATATGACGCCCAGTCGGTCCTATTTTTAGTTGAATCTCATTATAATTGTTAAAGATTACACAGTTACCATAATATTTTATCTATGTTGCCATTTACCTAAATGTTTGAATGACCTTTATATGTGGTACAAGTGGATAATAAACTCAATTTATATTTTTCATGAATTCGGCGCATTTTTCTACACATAACTGCATGATTAATATTTGAAGTACAAAATTGGGTTAGAGTTGTATTGCGAAAAGAATAGATCCTTTGTAAAGTTATGTATAGGAATTGCATCTAAATAGTAGAAATTTTAATAAATAAATTCAGTTTAAATCTATTTCTATAAAATATTATTTTCTCAGTTACTGTTGAAAATACACATAAGTCATCTCACAAAAAAATACAGAAATATACTTTATTAGCATTTTTTTAAGAATAGTAAGTCAAATAATAAAACACTTACTCGGACTATTGTACGGCTCATCCGTCTTGATAGTGGACTCTGGCATCGGTGGAGTGGCCTTGGGTTGTGGCACTTTCCTTTTAAGTGGCAGCTCATCTTCTGAGTCCGAAGTAAGATCAACAACGGCTTCTGCAGGCTTCGGGGCTCGACCTTCACCCACTGCTGCTCGTTTACCACCACCATTGTTACTGCCTTCAACTGGTATCACCTCTGCAAATTATGTATTATTTAAAAAAACACATTAACTTTTTAAATTATTGGTGTGCATAAAAACATCCCACTATTCCTATCCTATTCATTTATACCATTATTTCTAAGAGGTAAAGTTTGTGAATTGTGACGTAATGAACCGATTTTGAAAATTCTTTTAACAAGAGAAAGCCACGTTATTTCTGTATGTCATAGGCTATATATTAGAACAAAAACTACTTCACCGAAGCGAAGCGAGGGCGAGCCACTATTATATAAATGAAAATTGTTAATTTAAGAAAAGTACGCGAAATTTAACCGAATGTTGACCGAACTTCGGTCGGCCGGGCTTCAGCACATATTTAATGCCGGCACTTCATTTGGATATTAGTGTTTGCTATCTCTTAACTTGACAGCAGTCCCTCTTTATTTAGCAAACACGAATAGCCAAGCGAAGTGCCGGCATAAGCCGAACATTCGGGCGAATTCGACAGTATAACATGACATTTTAATATTCATTTTGTGTATGACATCATAATACTATTGACTTGACTTTTGATTTTTAATTATTTTTATTTGATGGAAATTAATGAATTTTAAATTATGTAATTTATTAACATACATATTCATTTATTTTTTCTAGTAAACTTTTCTTTCTTTAGATTTAAACATCTAGCAGTTAAATGCTTAAAAAATAATTAGAAACATACATATTTTTCTTTGTGACATAATTAATCTGTTGATATTAACCTAAATTATTACATGAAATTAAATAACTACTGCTTTGAACTAATTTTAAATTAAATAAATGATTAGTTGTAATTTTAGGGACATGTACCTATCTCTATTGTAATGATTATGAGTTATGTTTCTCGAAATGTGTAACATCTTTGCTCTCACTTTCGTGCAATTTGTGGGAGTGATTACTTGAAGTGGGACGGAAGTATGTAACAGGAAGTCGCGGAAGCGCGCGCTATTGGATTTGATTTTAGAACATAATGTTCAAATGGCTTATTCATTTTGTAGTAGGTTTTATTTCTTTTTTACTAATATAAGGTGAGGTTTCATATGTTTACACATTATACGCGACTACTGTAAGGCTCGCTCGTTTTTTTATTTATTTATAACGAACCCAGATCGTCGGCTATTAGGGTGACGGGCTCGGGCTGGGGCTGCGCTTGTTGCGGGGCTCTGGCAGGCGGAGCGTGGGCGCTCCAACTGCCGTCTGCGTGTAGTTGGATCTCGTTGCATTCGCTCGAGAGGCGAGCGGATGTTAAAACTTCTTGGAAGTACCTGTAGAACATAATCATATTATTAATATTTTTTTTGAGTGGTTGGTCGCAGATGACCTTTACAGCGTCACCGGGTTTGGGGAAGGCGAGATCCTAAGTGTCCTGAAGCCGAGAATTGGCGAATGTCTCTAGCTAGAGGTATTACAGGCGGATGGCGTATCCTCTCCGTCTGGAGCCTCTTGACCACTCAAACCTGAGGGGGTCGGCTCAACTAGAGGGCGTCCTCGGCTCTAGTTAGCCGTTGTCGTGGGGCACAAATAAATATTTCCGACACTCACACCAATAATTGGTGGTTATTAGCGTAGCCCCAATGTAATCCCTGTAAGGCTTGTGTTATGGGATCCTAGGATGGAATACATATATTGTAAATATATAAGTATATTTTGTATAGAAATATATATTAAAAAACCATGATTGACTGGAGTAACATGTTCGTATTCTCACACAAACATCTGCCCCCACCGGAATTCGAACCGACCGCTCGAGTACGCAACACCATGGCGGGTTCCACGCGTACAATCCACTCGGCCACGGAGGTCGTCAAATTATTATATCAACTATAACCGTTTAAGGCCCACTTGTAACAAATTTGCTATATCTCGATTCAACTAAAACTAGAGAACCCATAGAAAAATGTCAGAACTTCAATTTCACTCTGACATCATTGTATTTGCTATATCTAGTTTTAGTAAAATTGCTGCAAGTGGGCCTAAGTAAATAATGGACAGTAGATAAAATTAATCAAAGGTAAAGTGACTATTAAAAATTCCTGATAATAATAAATACTGATTTGACGTTCCCCAGTGGAGCGCGCCGACGGCCAGTTGCTAAAATGGTGGTCAAATAAGCATATGGCATTCTACCTGATGGTAAGCAGCCACCATAGCCTATAGACGTTCAACTTCGACGTTTCCTTTTTTTTAGAGCGGTTTTCACACTTAGTCCTAATCATTGGACCATTGTGCGTGTCTTCTAGTTTTTATACTACTTTATGCAAATACTAATCTAATAATTTGGAACGAGAAATGCTAAACTACAACAAAATATTAAAAACTGTCAAAATAATACAAAAAAATACCAAATAATGCAAAACAAACATAGTACTTATCACCTTTGACTGCACAACCTAAATGTGAGTTGCACCTAGTGTTGCCAGGTGTTCAGATTTGCGCGGGACGTCCCGATTTTCAGGGGTCTGGGGACGCGTCCCGTTATGTACCTGATCGGGACGCTAAATGGCCCGATAAATCGAAATTTGGGTAATTAATATAATACTATACTTGCACTAGTAGTTTAAAACGCAATAAATTAAACCCAAACTTGTTCACCCCTTGTTTTGTTTACTGTCCAGATCTGCACCTAAATCCTGATTTTTTAACCTCATGTACCGATTCAAAACAAATCGGAACTGGCAACACTAGTTGCACCACACGATAGAGCTAAAGTACCGCCAACGCGAAGCGAAACAAAATGTAAGTCGATAAAAGGTCATTGACCAATACAGTGGTTGGCAATTTTTTTTAAATGACTAATTATGAATATAAATAAAGATTTTAATAGGCATCATTCATATTATAAAATCAGAATCACAACGGTTTACTAAAACAAAAATTATTTGTTATTGCCATAAGTTGTATCGGAAAGACACGAAACAAAATAAAAATATCTCGTTATTTTTTACTTGGGCGCCCGAATGTTTGAACTTAACAGTTCAAATTAAAGTAAATTGGTACAATTCACTCTTAATGTTTGTCACAAAAAAACATAAAAAATTATATAAGAAAATCGGTAGTTTTCTTTATATTTTTTTCCAACGAATTAGAAATTATATGTAATACGAACTGCGCTAAACAGTGGCTCCACGCAAACTGTGATCGAGGGTGGAGAGTGGGCGGGGCAAAAAAATGCGATCAACACGCCGCCATGGGATTGGTTGGGATTTCCGTTTAACATTTTCTTAGCCAGTGGATAGCCAAATTCATTTGCAGATATTTGATTTTTCAAAATAGATTATTTTGTTTGTGTGCGTATCGCGTTAGTATTGAAGTTTAGTTGTATGAGTTTGGAACCATGTTTTATAGAAGTTTGTTAGACAGATGCTTCCATATACTTTCTAATTCGTATTTTTCTCTTTTTTAATTATTTTCTTTTATATTTACCCAACAAATATAATACACAAAAACTCACCCATCAACCACCAAGGAATCGTAGGGCGCCGGTCTATCGCATACGGGGCACAGCCAGGTCGGCTTCCTCTCATTCATCTGCAGGAACAGCGACGCGTCGAAGCATTGAAGGTGAGGACACGCGGCCGGACGGCAAGGGCACGACATACGCATCTTTCCCAGCGGACACATCAGCGAAACGCGGAGGGAAGTAGTCGCAATTTCGCTGTCGTAATCTTCCGACAACTTCTCTTTGACTGTAGGAAGAAAGCTGCTTTGAAAATGCATCCCCTATCTCAAAGATAAGGATGGAAAATAGCCAGAAAGTGGCATCAATACAATCCAGTCAATGATTTATAGTATGGTTAGGTAGCAGATGAAATATAGGTAGACGTCGAGTCTTAGTTCAATTCAAACACGTCACTTTGAATATTCACTTTAATTTACCTAATCCAATTTTTACAGTCACAGAAGGGCTAGTAACACACTGGAATAATGAATGGCAGGTCTTACAACTATTTATAATGTAGAACATACGCAATAACAATAGGTTTGACTAGTCCGAACGGAGCGCAAACAGTCATGCATTCGCCGTGGGATCGTGATACAGACTGGTGCGCGCGGCTACTGAACGGCCGGCGCAGGAGTCGGTTACGCGAACAAAAGAATTTAACTAGGAACTCGTTTAGAGTGCGCGTGTCCATTCCGAACTTACGGCAAATTGGCACGTCATTATAAATAGATATTTAATATGGTAATTTAATGTTTTTGTGAATATTTGTTTATATATAATATAATTATGTATATTTAATATGTATATTATTTTGTTATATATGATATGTATGTTATTTATAATTATGTATATTATGTTTATTTATTAGTATATGTGGAAAATAATATAATGTTGCCACATCACTCCCCCCCAAAGGCCTGGTTAGGGACGATAAAAATCTGGAAAACGCACATGTCTTCCAGAACGTGTTGTTCGATACATATTTGTAGGTGTTGGAGGAATGTGTGGTGACGATTCTGTTACCTTATTTTGCGGTGTTGATTTTGGTGAGGAAATATCAGCATCATCGTCATCCACCAATATAAAAGCAGGTTTTAGGCGATCAATGCTGACGGTTACCTTATTACCTTTGATAAATATTTTAAATGTCTTATCATTGCGTGCTAAAACTTTATGCGGGCCAGAGTATGCTGGTTGAAAGGGAGCCCGCGAAGCATCTTCACGGAGGAAGACATGGTCCGCGGTGGCTAGCTCTTTGAAAATAAATACTCTGCCCTTGTGATGACGAGAAGCTGCTATTGGTTGCAATTTCTCAGCGAAAGAACGCAGCCTTGCGGTGAAATCTGACAAGTCAGTGGTAACGCTTGAACTGGGGTTGAAGAATTCGCCAGGAAGTCTGAGAGGCTCGCCATACAGTAACTCAGCTGAGGAAGCCTGCAAGTCATCCTTAAAAGCAGTTCGGACGCCCAGGAGCACTAATGGAAGGGATTCTGTCCAGTTAACATCGGCGTGGCAAGTAATAGCTGCTTTGAGTTGCCTATGAAAGCGCTCGACAAGTCCGTTGCATGCGGGGTGATATGCAGTAGTGCGTTTATGCTGGAACCCTACAAATTTCGCAAGACACTGGAACAATGCGGACTCAAACTGTCGACCGCGATCTGTAACGATGTCTATAGGACATCCGAATCTAGATATCCAGCTGGTAATAAGAGACTTCGCTACAGTCTCAGCAGTAATGTCCATAATTGGACAGACTTCAGGCCACCTGGTAAATCGATCGACGGCTGTCAAACAGTAGCGGTAGCCGTTCGAAATCGGGAGAGGGCCTATTAAGTCAATGTGGACATGTTTAAATCTGGCTCGCGGCAGGTTAAAATTACCTATAGGCGCAGACACATGTCGTGTTACTTTTGCCCGCTGACATTGTAGACAACCACGTGTCCACTCTCTGACGTCTTTTCGGACTCCGGGCCAAACAAATCGGTGAGCTACTAATTGAGCAGTCGTATTGGCCCCTGGATGGCTAAGAGAGTGAAGACTGTGAAAAACTTGCTTGCGAAATTGTTTTGTAACGAATGGCCTGGGTGCCGATGTACTGACATCGCAGTACAGAAGCGTACGACTCCCAGGAACGGTAATTTGTTGCAAGCGGATGGAAGAAGAATTAGCCAGGTACTCAGCCAGTTCAGGATCAGACGATTGCGATCGAGCCAAATCCTCTAGACAGATTGGAGCTTCCAGTGCTTCGACGCGAGATAAAGCATCGGCAACGACATTGTCCTTACCGGCAATGTGCTTTATGTCGGTCGTAAACTGTGAGATATAGTCCAAGTGTCTGTGCTGGCGGGGTGAACAGTTGTGTTTTCGATCACTAAAAGCGTAAGTGAGGGGTTTGTGGTCCGTAAACACTGTGAAGTGCCTCGCCTCCAGCATGTGGCGAAAGTACTTGATGGCTTCATAGATAGCGAGGAGCTCTCGGTCGTACGGTGAGTATTTTGCTTGCGCTGGGCTCAGTTTCCGAGAGAAGAACGCTAATGGCTGCCACTTACCTTCGATCAGCTGTTGAAGTACAGCTCCCATGGCTAAGTCTGACGCATCAGTCACCAATGCTAACTTGGCTCGGCAATCAGGGTGGGCAAGCATTGCAGCATTGAGTAGGCTTTCCTTGGTGTCTTGGAAAGCCTTCTGAGCATCGCCATTTAAATAAATGGGAGTTGAACCTTTGACTGCACCGGTAAGAAGCTTATTGAGGGGAGCCTGGGTAAGAGCTGCGTTTGGCAAAAAACGACGATAAAAGTTCGCCATGCCCAAGAAACCTCTTAACTGCTTGACAGTCTTTGGTGCTGGGAAGTTACGGATAGCTTCTACCTTAGTGTCCAAGGGTTTGGTACCGCTCTCAGAAATGCGATAACCTAGGAGGTTACCTCGGGAACTCCAAATACACACTTGGATACATTAATCACCATACCGTACTTCCTGAGTCTAGTAAACAGTAGCCGTAAGTGATGTTCGTGCTCCGGCTGACTTCTAGAAAAGACTAGAAAGTCATCACAGTAGCAGTATACGAAGTCCAGCCCGCGCGTCATCTCATCGACGAATCGCTGAAATGTTTGGCCTGCATTGCGCAGACCAAATGTCATAAATGGGAATTCGTACATACCAAATGGGGTGGTGATAGCCGTCTTGGGTATATCCTCTGGACAAACAGGAATTTGGTTATACGCCTTCACGAGATCTATAGTGCTAAATATTTTACAGCCAGCAATAGAATAAGCAAAATCGTGAAGGTGTCTAATTGGATATCTGTCGGGGATGGTCCTTGAGTTGAGTCGTCTGTAATCCCCACAGGGCCTCCAGCCGTTATCTTTCTTGGGGGCCAGGTGAAGAGGTGACGACCAGGGACTATCAGAGGGTCTCGCTGTACCATCAGCAAGCATGGCCTCAAATTCTTGCTTAGCCACTTTCAGCTTATCTGGAGCCAGCCGTCTTGGTGTGCTTGTAACAGGAGGACCTGGTGTGGTACGAATGTGGTGTTGTGTGTGGTGTGTTATGTTACGGTGAGTGCCAGCTGGTCGCGTTATATCAGGAAATTCCTGATTAAGCAAGCTATGAAAGCGAGATTCACCGGTCAATATTTTTACAGAACTCACACAATTAAAAGGTGCAAACAAAGCAGAAGCAGAAAGGCTAGTGGTATTGTCTATAAGCTTTTGATTTCTACAATCGACAACTAAATTATAAAAAGCTAGGAAATCTACTCCTACAATAGGCTTTGTGACATTAGCAACAATAAAGCGCCAAGGGTAAGATCTACGTAAATTAAAATCTAAATTTAAATAGTAGTAACCGTAGGTGTCGATGGTCGTCCCGTTGGCCGCGCAAAGCTTGTAGGAAGTAGGTACACGACGCTCACGTAACAGAGTCCGGGGGAAGACACATAGATCGCTGCCAGTATCTATCAAAAATTGTATCTTCGACCTTCTGTCGGTGACGAACAGGCGACCAGAGGTTGGGCTATCAGCTGTCGCCATTACCGACTGCCCTTTGCGTTTCCCGACTTCTCGTAGTCACAAGGCTTGATACATTTGTGAGCCTTGTGTCCATGTTTTGAGTGGTACCAGCAAGTAGGGTACTTCCGGTACGAAGATTGGGACCTGGTAGTTGACTGGTCGCGGCGATCACGACGACGACTGCGGGATCGCGGTCTTCTATCTCCGGTAGGCATATTTTTGATCAGGCGACGCAATTCCGAGATTTCTCTAGCCATGGCATCCATTCTCGATCCATAGTCGTGACTTGTCGATGCAACTTGTGGTGTTGAAGGGACGATATCGTGGATGCGGTCGGCGAGATCGGCAAGGGTCTCCAGTTCTGCGATCGGTTGAGCAGCCAGGACAGTCTGGATGTTTCCGGGAAGGCGGCTTGTCCAAATTGTACGAAGAAAATCGTCCGTAATCTGGTGACCAGCGAGGCTTTGGAGATGACGGAGAAACTGCGAAGGTTTGCGGTCCCCAAGTTCTTCGTGCATGAGAAGCTGTTGCACTTTCTTCTCCTTGGAGGCGCTAAGGCGTTTAATAAGCTCCGTCTTCAATTTTTCGTAACGGTCACTGGATGGAGGTTTCGCAATAATGTCTTTGACCTCGCATAAAAATTGACGATCCAGTTGTCCGATGACGTAATGAAATTTCGTCAGGTCGTTAGTAATTCCGGCGATCTGGAACTGTCCCTCAATTTGCGAAAACCATATTTCCGGTTCCTCCGGCCAAAAAGGTGGAATTCGGACTCCCGACTTTAAAAATGTCGGATGGTGTTGTGGAAATGCGCTCACTGACGTCACGTTCGACATCGCCACTGCCGTTCGCCATCTTAGTACGTGTATTCTTGATTTAGTAAAATATTACGTACTTTTATCACCAGCGTTGATAACTGTGTCCGAATAGGGTCACCACTATGGTTAGGTAGCAGATGAAATATAGGTAGACGTCGAGTCTTAGTTCAATTCAAACACGTCACTTTGAATATTCACTTTAATTTACCTAATCCAATTTTTACAGTCACAGAAGGGCTAGTAACACACTGGAATAATGAATGGCAGGTCTTACAACTATTTATAATGTAGAACATACGCAATAACAATAGGTTTGACTAGTCCGAACGGAGCGCAAACAGTCATGCATTCGCCGTGGGATCGTGATACAGACTGGTGCGCGCGGCTACTGAACGGCCGGCGCAGGAGTCGGTTACGCGAACAAAAGAATTTAACTAGGAACTCGTTTAGAGTGCGCGTGTCCATTCCGAACTTACGGCAAATTGGCACGTCATTATAAATAGATATTTAATATGGTAATTTAATGTTTTTGTGAATATTTGTTTATATATAATATAATTATGTATATTTAATATGTATATTATTTTGTTATATATGATATGTATGTTATTTATAATTATGTATATTATGTTTATTTATTAGTATATGTGGAAAATAATATAATGTTGCCACAATAGCATGAGCCTTGTAGACCACAAGGGCATGACATTCGTATCGTGCCCAAGTGACACATCAGTGACACGAGAAGAGGAATGGTAACCATCTCGCTGTAGTAATCTGGGTTCAAGCCGGCAAGGTGAGCCAGCAGCACATTTCTCTGCCCTATCAGTTACGATCACGACATAACTACACGATTTTCCTGAGAAAACCATTGACTCGTTAGCGACTATTGACGATTGCTAAGCACGCTGATAAATAGGCGCTCTTGAATTACACTGTCTTGTCCTGTTCTGTAGGTTTATAGAAAAGGCAGATACATAGTTCGTGTTTGTGTGTGATACTCACTGAACGACTGCTCATAGTCCGGGTTCTTGGTGACTTTATTCTAGATCTAGTCATTGCAGTAGTTCAGCAGACGTCAGTTTTTACACCATAAACACACTGAGATCTTGTATTGTGGGTAATTGGGTACATATATAAGGCAGATAGTATGTGTGGTACTTACTGAGCGATCGCGTATAGTCCGGGTTCTTGGTGCCTTTATTCTTGAGCCTTTGCAGTAGCTCGGCAGATGTCAGTTTTCGCACCATGAACACACTAACTACATAGGCGCGGGTGAAATCCGCCGCCCAAGTGACGTGGATATTATTGGCGACTGTAGGAGACAGCTTCACCAGAGAGGAGATATTGACGGGCCGCGGCGGTCGCTTCGGTTCAGGCGTCGGCTTGTTTGTCGGTATGGGGTTCTGGTTCATGGGAAATCATATCGGCCTATTAATTTCCAGACCGCTAAGACAGTTCTTTCCTTTGATTATATATACCCAACGATATTAAATTCCCTAGACCCAAAAACACGAACAAAATCGTGGCCGAAACCTGTCCTAAAAGTACATTGGACGATCCACGGAGCTCCGTAAGATGATCACGTGGTCATAAACAATTTAAGGCATAATTTAAATATTGAAAGTCACCTTTAATGCATAACGTATAAGGTCTTAATTAAAAGGCATGCGTTAAAGAGTTATGGCAATTCGAAATGCAAGCTCGTAAAATTTACGACTTATTGCTATTAAAATATAGCCCTTATTGTTGTGTCATTGTCAATGCGCTATTAGCAACATAGCAGGTACGGACCACGAAGAACAGAGTCACCGTATAGCCGTCTCTCTCATCACAAATATTTTATATTAAATCAGTTTATAGTAAGTATTAGGACAAAATTTGCTTCAGATGCGTTAAATTAACAAACATTAATTAGATACCTGTCGAAAAAAAGGACAGTTTACATACTATAAATAATTATTTCGCATTTTTTTACGGAGCTCTGCGGCATCTTGACTTTTCAACGTTCTGCGCGTGACTGTGAACTCCACTCAAGCACTTCTTGATTGGTACACACTTTGAGCGCAGGTGGTGTATCTAGGGTATTTAATATCGTTGAATACACCCCTAAATAGAACAATCCAAATAAACTACGTAAAGAAAACGTTCGACTATGTGTGCGTCCTTTAGTCTAGGAATGACAGATTCGCGAAATGACTACTTACATGGTCTATAATTGACCAATTCTTGTAATGTACATTTCTATAAATTATTGATTCTACAAAGGGCTTTTTTATGAACAAAATCGAAGTACTTACTACTTTGAATAGGCATAATGTAAATAAAATGCGTGATTCTAATGTCAAGACTTTTTGAAAGCAGTAGATGTGTGCGTGTGTAGCGCCGAGCTTATCTACCATTAGTAGTAGATATTTTTTGTGCTGCTTCCGTGCAGTTAATACAGTATCTAGGCGTGTATAATCATGGGCCATACCCCACACATTCCCGAGTGTGAATGAGGCCGGGACCAACGGTTTAACGTGACTTCCAAAGGATTAGAGAACTTCAGATAACAATTTTTGGTCGCCCATCCTGTGACTGGCATTTGTCAAAGCTGCTGAATTTCCACGATCTCACTTTTGTGCTTCCGAGCTCCTAATGTATTGACTACAATAAATAATGTCATCTAGAGAATATTTTCTCTTTTTTTCAACATAATGATTTAATTTATATGATTATTTTTTAAGCATGTAACTGCTTGATGTTTAAATCACAAGAAAATATAACTAGTAAAAATTTCCACGCGGATAATGATTTAAGTTAATAAAGTGTTATATCAGTCATTCGGATTCTTATTTGAGATGATATATTGATGAGGTATGAATAAAGAAACCTATGAAGTAAAAGTACAAAGTAAATAATATTAAAACAAATTTTGGGTCATTTTCAGTAAAATTTGAGCAAAATCGTGTTTAAGCCTCCTTCTATTGACTTGACTTCCAATAGTTGGCAAAGATATTGCAATTATTTCAAAGAAAAGAGTTAAATTCATGTTTTAATATACATTCTTTCCAAGTATTGTTTTTGTTAGTAATGTAATGGTGCAATTAATTGGACTTGGCTGTTAGCCCGAATGCGGAGTAGAGCCGTCTTCCAGCCCGTGTTCGAGTAAAACAATGTCAATATTGCATTGGGTGCACGAATTCGAGTAATGTCTTTCATGCACCCGAATACGGGCTAACAACCAAGTGTAAATGCGTCTTAATTAGATTATTTTATAAATACATTTATGTTCATAGTAAAGCAGGTACTTACTGGTAGTGGACACATTTTATTATTAACTTTAACATTAACGCTAGGTGGGAAGTAGTCTTCCTGTTCACATGAAGTCTCAAGAAGACAGAATCTCAACTGTGCCTGGAACAAACATACAAAAGAACAATAAGACAAACATTCAAGATTAAGGTCCACTTGCAGCAATTTTACTAAATCTCAATTCAACTAAAACTAGATTAAACCCATACAATAATGTCACATTTACATAGACGTTTTTCTATGGGACAAAGCCAGTTTTAATTGGATCGAGATATAGCAAATTTGCTGCAAGTGGACCTTAAGTATAGGAGTTTGAATTTAACACATACAGTCGACTTATATAGTTATCCTATGATGTTTTAAAATTATAGATACGTCATACACGCTTCTAGTTTGGCAATACGAAAGTCAGGTAATTGCCAGACTTGCATTCAGCTGGGACTTGAGTCGGGCACGCTCTCTCGCCGCGGCTGCACTTCACTATAAAGTGTACATTATTTTTACAGTTTTTTGCAGAATGATTGACATTTTTATTAACCGTTTTATATTTAACCCATACATGACGATATAGAGACGACATATTCAGATGGTACACGTTACGTTTTTCCAGACAAAAAGCCCTGTGTGTTTTTAAATAGTACACATAAATACACGTGAACTATTAGAGACAAGAAAAACGTGTCATTTAATTCGTAAGTACAGTTTTAAAGAAATTAATGTAAAAATATTTAGTTATTACACATTTTGATACTTGCTGACACTGTTGACATGTGAAGGTTAAAGAACGAGATGTAATTGCTTTATGAATGAGAGTGAAAGAGACTACTTTAGTGCGCTCTATTGGCGGCTGTTGCCAAGGGAAGTTGGGGCGGGGACTACTTCCGCCATTTTAAAATGCAATAATGTTGGTGTACGACCTGTATATATATATTATACGTCATTGTAGTTATTTTATTTTTACATACAGACCAGAAGAGACAAATAATGTTGCTATGAACAGCATGCGAATTACTATATAAAGGTTAAATTGGATATGTTCGGCCTTTGTACTCTTTGTTCAAGTTCTTACCTTTACGATACCGAATCAAAATACGATCTAATGTCAAATGCAACCTGCCAACACACCACTAATACTTCTTGGTTGGGTAATACATATAGTCTATGCGGAAGTGTACGCTCAAACATCATTGCATCACTTCTATGCCTTAGTTCTCGTTTTGAGCAATACCATGAGACAACACGACACTTGCCAAGCTTTCACTGGAGTGGTCGTTACTAATACAAAAGTAATGCATCTTTTTTAAAACTTTATTTAAAGCAGTAGTTCTTAGTTAAGTGGTGGTCTCTGGAAGCACCCAGAACACTGACTGATTTTAAAATTTTAGGGGAGCGGAACGGGGCAAATCGTGAGTGGTGATCCGTCGCAACACACAAATTTTGGTCCCTCATTACTATAAGTTAGACTACATACTTAAAGGCTACGCAATGGTTCAATTACACACGGTCGTCAACCCGAATTCGTGCACCCGATGCAATATTTACGTTCTTTTTACTCGAAAACTTCCAGCCCGGAAGACGGCGTCGGGTAACCAAAACGAAAACTGTTCGAATACGGGCGAACTCGACTCCGTTCGTTTACCCGAATTCCATTGGCATTCGTATTCGGGCTAACGACCAAATGTAATTGCGCCATAATGCACGTACCTGTATGACATAGTCTAGTTTGTTGCTGGTGCCGACTATGTCCTTGCCCGAGGCGATCTCCGTGGCCTGCTGCGGTGTCAGATGGAAAATGTAAGTGCCCTCCTGCATGCGGCCCGCCTGCATCGGCATCATGGTGGACGGCTTCATCAGTTCCGCAAGCACGTCGTAGAATGGAAGCCTGCCGCAAACGACAAAGTTAAAAGCTTATACGTTTCTTGCTACCTCAAACAACAGGCTTCTTTCTCAGTTGAAAGATGTCCTGAACGCCTGGTAGGATTACAATTGGAAGGACAATCGAAAAGAGCTTTTAATAAGTCAACTCGAATAGAGAGTTAGTAAAAGAGAGAGGTAAGTAAAAACAAAGTCTGCCTTATTCCAAAACGCGGACTATCGTCTGTACCACGGCGAGTGTTCTAAGTAGTTATTCTCTCTTATTCCACCTACCCCTTTCCTTCAAAGGCGCGCTAGCCTAAGTTGTCACCGTCTAACTGTGGCCTCAATTCCAACGCGTACAAAGAAGTTTTCCTTTGTCGCACTATCTGTAAATGGAATGCTCTGCCCGCTCGTTTTCCCTCTCTTTTAAAACCTGGGATCCTTTAAGAGGCGTGAAGAAGCAACATGCAGGCCGGCAGGATGAGGATGGTTGGTGTGGCAGGTAGAACAGCTGTATCAGCTATCTTCGCGTCTGGACTTCACCGTCACTTAACATCAGGTGGGGTGGAGTCATTTATCAAACCTATCTATAAAAAAAAACTTAAGTTAATCTTGGATTAAAACCTTCTTATCTCTGTCTTCTTTATAGCAAATAAAAGTGACAGCTTCAGTTTTAGTCTAGGTTTATCTTAAGTCTACGTTTTGTAATAAAGCAGAGTGTGTAATGTAAATAAAAATAAATATCTTTAATATTTATTTTTATTAGATCCTCCAATAAACATTATCATGAATAATAAAATTTTGACTAGATGAGACTGAATATATAGCTAGCTAATCAATACACTCCCAAGAATAGGAATGTAACTTTCTCATTTTACAATAATATCATGCAAATCATGGTTTAGCCGCAAATATTAAGTTTGTGTTAAAGGATGAAATTCATAGATAGCTCCTTAAACGAATCGATGTGGGACATAGAGCAACACGGACGGGAGTAGTCATAGCGACAATACTATTTAAAACATTCTGTATTTTATTGCGCGCGCGGGGTTACGGGGGGACAGTGGACTGAATGTCTATATAAAAACTAGCTCAATTAATTAGATGAAATACATATATTTTCAAGATCAATTAACATCAATGTAACGATAAGAAGGAATAAATCACAAAAGTCATATTATATTAAAAAGGAAATGTAGTAAAATGGGGCAAGGCTGTCGGCAACAAATCTGTAACTGCGACACTCGCACATAAACAACGCCACAATATGCCATATCCTGCGCACATGTATCGTTTGTATGCCCAAATCGACAAAGGGAAAAGCTGTGTATGCCTACTCCCGTCCTGGCCGCGTTGCTCTATGATGTGAGGCAGCGACTTCACAGCCCCTAGACACCTAATGATAGGAAAATATACCTGACAACACATCTGACTTATAAATCAGATAAATGACCCCACATATTCATTCATATTCAATCAGTGTAGACCACTTTCGCGATTTGCTGACACACGTTTGGAATGCAAAAATATAGCCCATAGGCTCTGTATACCACCATCATATAATTTACTTACATTATGTTAGGTTTATTAGACAATCAGTCAATCAGGGCAGTTGCCAGAATGCATTTAGCACTAAAAATATAACGTTAGGCGTCTAGGGGCTAGTCGATAGTGTAAAGAGATACCAGAATGTTACTCACTTTTTGAACTTAACGTCCGGGTGCACAGGGAAAGGAGACAGCGGTGTCGTAGGGGAGGGCGAAGGCATCGGCGCTAGGGTGGCGCCGCCCGCGCCGTGCCCGTAGCCGTGGTACATGCCGCCCGCGTACATGGGGTTCTGCCGCGCCTGTCGGTGCACTTCTGTCTCATTTTACCCACACACCACATCTCCAGTGAGAGTGTATTAGTAACAAGCGCCGTGATAGGTTATTTACGAGATGATGGATAATCATAAAGGACAAGATGATGAAACGAGTTCAATAAGAGATGGATGGTGGTTCATTTAACGAGTTCTCTAATGCCGCCCGCGTGCATGGGGGTCTGTCTCATTTCACCCTCATACTACATCTCCAGTGAGAGTGTGTTATGTAGTACCAAGCGCCGTGATAGGTTATTTTTGAGATGGTGGATGATGAAATGAGTTTAATACGAAATGGAAGCATTGACAAATGCTCAAGTGTAAAATAGTTATTTTGATTTGAAGTTCTATAGTTATTTTGGTTTGAATTTCTCTAATGCCACCCACGTACATGGAGTTCGGTGATTCTGCCGCGCCTGTCATTGCACTTCTGTCTCATTTTACCAAGACACCACATCTCCAGTGAGAGTGTATTAGTAACAAGCGCCGTGATAGGTTATTTACGAGATGATGGATAATCATAAAGAACAAGATGATGAAACGAGTCCAATAAGAGATGGATGGTGGTTTGATTTAATGAGTTCTCTAATGCAGCCCGCGTACATGGGGTTCTGCCGCGCCTGTCGGTGCACTTGTCTCATTTTACCCACACACTACATCTCCAGTGAGTGTATTAGTAACAAGCGCCGCGATAGGTTTCATACGAGATGATGGATAATCATAAAGGACAAGATAATGAAACGAGTTCAATAAGAGATGGATGGTGGTTTGATTTAACGAGTTCTCTAATGCCGCCCGCGTACATGGGGTTCTGCCGCGCCTGTCGGTGCACTTCTATCTCATTTTACCCACACACCATGGCTTCAGTGAGTGTATTAGTAACAAGCGCCGTGATAGTCCAGTCAACAAGTTCAAAAACGTGAAAAATAGAGATAAAGCTCCTAAAAATATGAGCAATAGCTCATTGGATTCGTAACGACCTCTAGAAAAATGAGTTTTGAGGATTTTACTGCACGTAAAAAATTGCAATTGTTATTAACAAAATAAGATGAAAAAAAAGAGGTATTTACGTTTTTGTTAATAACTCATAAACTATTAATATTTACGATATTTGGAAAAAAGGCCCTTAAAGAGGAGGAAATTTACGAAATAAAAGTCCCAGCTCCCGGAACTCTACCTCTATTATTTATAATTTTAATTTAACGCTGAAAATAGGGCTCCGCGCAGCCATTACGGCATGGGCGCACTGCCGTTAAAGACAGTTTCTTACATAAAATTATTTTTTTATAGTAACAAATATGAATTTAAAAATTTAAATAAATTATGGTGTCATCCAGATACTTGAAAGAATATATTCCCCTTGGAAAATTTTTTTTAAATTAATTTTTCAAAAAGTTATGCAATTGTTAATTAACGAATTTTTTTCCTATCTCCGTTTTCATAAATGACGACATAAAAATTTAAATAATAAACCTATAAATTTTTGGCTCTGTGGAGCTCTTCTTATATATATACTTAACAAGATCCCGCGATAAAAGTTTATTAAAGTTAATTATTTTGTTTATAACAATTTTTTAAAGTTAACAAAAAATGAAAAGTCTAAGAAATGTTATTAAAAAAATTTTTTTAAACAAATGTTATATTATTGCTGCTTTCTTATCCAACAATGGCATTAGGTAACATCGGAAAAAAAATTTTTACATCATTTGTTAAGAAATTGTTTATAAACAAATAGACAAGTTTAATATTTAAAGAAATTGTTTTTTTACCATTATGTTGTCTTGGCAAAATAAGGATTTTTAAAAAAAAAAATTTTCTTAAATAAATTTTTTTATTGTTTATAATCGTTTTTTTTATATTTCGATTGTTTAAATAATTAGTTAAGGAATGATTTTCTCTTTAAAAATCATAATTGGCATTTCTTCATAGGTAAATAGAAAAAAAAATTTTTTTATCAATAATTTCATTGTTTGTTAACTTAACAATTTGTTATAAACAAATTCTAACTACCGTTATATTTTTTTTCTAGAGCTAAAAAAAATAGCAAAAACAGCCATATATATCAAAATACTAAAAAAAAATTTTTTCTATTTTTTATAACGCTTTTAAATATTACACGATACCAAAGTTGCACCGGACACTTGATTTGTCAAGTAAAAAATTAATATAACTTATAAACTATTCGAGATACGATAATGAACATTCAGGTCGTTTTCATAAAGCATTAATTAATCTTCAAAATAAGCTAAAAACCAAGTTTGTAACTATTGTTTATCAGCTAATACATGCATTTGTTTTGAAAAATTTGAGATTTCTTTAACTTTTTCGTATCTCTTATGACTTACAACTTAATAAATAATTAAAATACAGCTATAAACCTTAAAACAATTTTGTTTAGCGATACATTATCTCCCAAATTATCAATTAATCGTACCTCCATCTCTAATTGTTTAAACAATATACGTGACTTAATTAATATTTATTTAACTCGTGTTCAATTTAACATCGAGGTAATAATTTGGGAGATAATGTATCGCTAAACAAAATTGTTTTAAGGTTTATAGCTGTATTTTAATTATTTATTAAGTTGTAAGTCATAAGAGATACGAAAAAGTTAAAGAATTCTCAAAATGTTATAAACAAATGCATGTATTAGCTGATAAACAATAGTTACAAACTTGGTTTTTAGCTTATTTTGAAGATTAATTAATGCTTTATAAAAACGACCTGAATGTCCATTGTCGTATCTCGAATAGTTTATAAGTTATATTAATTTTTTACTTGACAAATCAAGTGTCCGGTGCAACTTTGGTATCGTGTAATATTTAAAAGCGTTATAAAAAATAGAAAAAAATTTTTTTTAGTATTTTGATATATATGGCTGTTTTTGCTATTTTTTTTAGCTCTAGAAAAAAAATATAACGGTAGTTAGAATTTGTTTATAACAAATTGTTAAGTTAACAAACAATGAAATTATTGATAAAAAAATTTTTTTTTTCTATTTACCTATGAAGAAATGCCAATTATGATTTTTAAAGAGAAAATCATTCCTTAACTAATTATTTAAACAATCGAAATATAAAAAAAACGATTATAAACAATAAAAAAAATTATTTAAGAAAAATTTTTTTTTTTAAAAATCTTTATTTTGCCAAGGCAACATAATGGTAAAAAAACAATTTCTTTAAATATTAAACTTGTCTATTTGTTTATAAACAATTTCTTAACAAATGATGTAAAAATTTTTTTTCCGATGTTACCTAATGCCATTGTTGGATAAGAAAGCAGCAATAATATAACATTTGTTTAAAAAAATTTTTTTAATAACATTTCTTAGACTTTTCATTTTTTGTTAACTTTAAAAAATTGTTATAAACAAAATAATTAACTTTAATAAACTTTTATCGCGGGATCTTGTTAAGTATATATATAAGAAGAGCTCCACAGAGCCAAAAATTTATAGGTTTATTATTTAAATTTTTATGTCGTCATTTATGAAAACGGAGATAGGAAAAAAATTCGTTAATTAACAATTGCATAACTTTTTGAAAAATTAATTTAAAAAAAATTTTCCAAGGGGAATATATTCTTTCAAGTATCTGGATGACACCATAATTTATTTAAATTTTTAAATTCATATTTGTTACTATAAAAAAATAATTTTATGTAAGAAACTGTCTTTAACGGCAGTGCGCCCATGCCGTAATGGCTGCGCGGAGCCCTATTTTCAGCGTTAAATTAAAATTATAAATAATAGAGGTAGAGTTCCGGGAGCTGGGACTTTTATTTCGTAAATTTCCTCCTCTTTAAGGACCTTTTTTCCAAATATCGTAAATATTAATAGTTTATGAATTATTAACAAAAACGTAAATACCTCTTTTTTTTCATCTTATTTTGTTAATAACAATTGCAATTTTTTACGTGCAGTAAAATCCTCAAAACTCATTTTTCTAGAGGTCGTTACGAATCCAATGAGCTATTGCTCATATTTTTAGGAGCTTTATCTCTATTTTTCACGTTTTTGAACTTGTTGACTGGACTATGATAGGTTATATACGAAATGATGGATAATCATAAAGGACAAGATGATGAAACGAGTTCAATAGGAAATGGATGGTGGTTTGATTTAACGAGTTCTCTAATGCCGCCCGCGTACATGGGGATCTGTCTCATTTTACCCTCATACTAAATCTCCAGTGAGTGTGTTATGTAGTACCAAGCGCCGTGATAGGTTATTATTGAGATGATGGATGATATATAAAGGACAAGATATTGAAACGAGTTATTTACGAGATGATGGAAGATGGACAGGGTGACAAAACGACATCAATATGAAATTGAAGCATTTCACAAGTTATATTATTTTATGGTAGTTTCATTTAACAAGTTCTCTAATGCCACCTTCTCTGTCACACGCTTATGTGGTATTGCCACATAAGATTGGCAAACCTTGTCACCAGACGCTTATTGATAAAATAAGTATCGTAATGAATTCGTAAGCCTTCCGTAAATACATTTAACTCTGCGGGTTGTAGCAAGTAACGGCGGTGCAATTTTATTACAGCTCTGCTACAAAGAAGTTAGTCAGTCGTTAGACATGATTTTACGAAGAAAATATCATACAAAATTTACTAAGCGTTTGGTTTAAAAACAGAGCAACTTTTTTGTGAAGGTGCCATTCCGAGACGGGCTACAGACCGCAAGCTGCAGCGACACGACTTGTTACTATGAATCTCTATGACATTAATCCCGAACGCGGCGATACTGAGTGGAGTGACAAAGACATAGTTCTATGCGTAGTGCAGTAGCGACATGCCGCCGTGCTCGGAAAAGCAGGCATGACCGCAAAACACACTGCGGTTGACCGCAGTCGCTAGCCGCAATGTAGCTTGCAGTTGCAGTATTGTAGCCCGTCTCCAAATTGTACCTTAGACCTTGTCGCCAGATTGCTTATTCATAAAATGATGTATGTATGTATGAGTATGATAATGAATTCGTAAGCGTTCCGCAAATACCCTCAGTTCCTCAATTCGACTTACAGTGACGGGCATCTGCTGCGCCCGCGAGTCCTGCGGGTTGTAGCCGGTGACGGCGGGGTGCTGGTAAAGGCCTCGCGAGCCGGGCAGCGCGGCCGCCAGTGGGTCCTTGCCCTGGGAGCCGCCGCTGTGCCCGCTGCCTCCAGAAGGGAGCGCCTGATTGTTCCTGTTGTGAACACCACTCCTAATTGATACAATGGCCCTCAGATGAGCTGAATGATTCTCATAAATACTGAATGAATGAAATAAAAAGCCAACTTTGAGTGATAAAGGAAACTCGACTAAAATAGCGGAAGGTATGGGTTCGAGTCCCTTTTGCTGCCTGAACCGCATGGATTTTTTTTTTAAACATCTAGCAGTTTTATGATTAAAAAATTAAAAAATGTAACTTTGAGATTGGCAATTATATGTACTTTTCTTCGCATTTAGTATTTATTTGAGAATCATTTAAATACTTTCTATTTTAAATGAACTTTAATCTAAAAAATAAAAAGTAATAGAAATACTGTAACAAACTTTCTTGACAGTAAAGTTAACTTAGTACATCATGGATTAAGAATCCTTTGGTGATATAACTTTCAAACTTGGAGGAACTCAGTATGATGTTTATTCCATGAAAAATATGTTCTTAGAAAATTTAGCGAATAATCCTATTGGTTTTATGGCGAAACAAAGACAAAATTTCAGTTTCATGGAAATATGTACCCCATGCAAATAAGTGTGGCTCCTAAGACAGTTAGGATCGAAGAACAAACATGCATAGAACAATAATTTCCCATTTATTTATACACATTCCTAATACATAGCTGTTTCAATAGGAAAAATGTAAACATACAAGTCCCAAAGTTACATTAAGAATTGTCAAAGCTTAGTACATAGTGTAACGTCGTATTTACGCCGTCACATACATAGATAAATAATATATGGTTTGACATCCGTCACTTAAGGATTTTCCCTATTTTTTTTTAATAAACGAAACACATCTTTAAAAATTGTCTTAATTTCATAAAACATTAAAATAAATACGTAATAATTGTTATTCTAAATTTAAGAAAACTTTTGTAATTTATGGTTAGTCCATGCCCAAATTTAAATTTTAATGCGCCAACATTACTTTTCGGTTCTTTGCAGGCACGAACAGTCACTTTTAAAAATGTGAAATATAATAATAATTTATAGTTCGGTTTCTTTTTCCAAAAATGCGCTCATCGCATTTTTGCAAACTAATATTGGTGCCAATGGCCCATTAGTAAAACTTTAAAAGAGCTGCGATTGCAGCTCTTTATGTGATCTTTATACTCTTTATCTTGTCTTTATCATCTTTAATTTTAATGATATCTTTATAAATATCATTTTGATATCTTTGACCATGGACCAGCCATAATAGTCTAAGTAAATCCAATACTTAATGTACTTTGACGCCTGGAATCCAATCTGGTATGTACACTTTCACAATAAATAATTGAAGAGGAAAACACCTTTATCATTCAACCCTAGTCAAAACTGCCTTTGAGATTAAAAGCTGATGTTCCCGTAAGTTATTCCGGACACCTGGAGACGCTACCAGCTTCCCGGCGCCCGTTACGACTCTCACTTTAAATGGAAGCTGAGAAGCTAAATCGGCTACCATCACCCGGCCATCGCCTCCAGAATTTTTCGTTCTTTTTTGAAATAACCAACTAAATAAATAGTTTACACACCTTTTTTTTATTTTTTTTACCTTACAATGTCGCCTCTCACATAGGGACAGGATTTTGACTAGGATATTTTGTAACTTTGTAAGTGAAATATAGTTATTTTGCTATATCCATCATAACTTTTACATTTTGCTTAACATAAATTCATTAATTTTTCATTTTTGAACTGAATGTTATTATCACATAACATTCATCGAGTAACTTTCTCCATTTTTGCTTCAAAGCTTTGTTTTGGCAAGCTTATAGCCATATTTTACTTTCATTATAAACTAATTTGCTATTATGTAATTAGTACATAATATATTTTAGAATAAATAGATTCTGAGAAGAAAATGTGATGCTAATAACCATTCACACAACTTTCTTTGACCATATTTTGAGATTTGACAAATTATTTGCAAATAGTCATTGCATAATATTGTTGTTTGTTATTTAATGTGCATTTCAGCTTTCAGCAAGAAATAAATATTGTTTCATGCATAATTTACTTGTGTTAACCTATCATTTACAGAATTGTGTAAACTTAATATAAGTTCAAGTAAGTACATGTGTTTATTACTAAGTGTTTACTGAAAATAGTTTAATTGTTTAATCCTGTTGTTAATCACTTATGCACAGTGTCTATTGATCAGTTTTCTATGCAATTGATAATGCAAAATTAACTTTTTTTACAACAACAATACATAACAAGTTTTATTACATGTCAAACTTAAGTTTTGTACATTGAAGTTCAAATGTTTTGATATAGTGTCAGGTTAATTCTGATATTATACTGGTTAATTCATATTCCTGAGTAACTGTTATTGTTTAATTTAACTGTAGGTTTCCATAAACATTGCATTTAACTTTCCAATTTGTCAATAAATTTCCACTTAAACTTTCATTGCAAATCTTAGTATACAATGATATGAGATAACTTTTATTGCATAAAGTGTTTGTTTACAAGAATTAGTTCTTGGTAATTCTTATTTTTATTGAATAATTGATAATATTATTGGAATTTAACCTTAAATTAATGTTAGTTTTATAAAAACAACTTAAATTTATTGGAAAACATTACAACTTGGTAGTTTTTGTTAAACTTACAATATACTTAGTTTAATATTTTTCTGTGAAATAGAGAAAATAACTTAAGTCTTATAAGAATCTTACACTATGACGGATAAGGAGTGTCAAACTGATAAAATCATGGCAGGAACTTCATTCAATAAGACAATAGAAACCTGTATTTCATGTTATGTTGCAAATGATCATAGAACATGGTCTAAGTTTATTCCCCATGTTCAAAGTGCTATTAATAGTACTGTTAATTTAGTTACTGGTTTTACTCCAAATTTTCTTATGTTCGGTCGTGAAGTCGTGTTGAATGGGTCCTTGCATAGATATTCTTCTATAGATGACTTGTTTGATATTAATATTGAGAAACCTGACGGTTATGGTAATTTGTTAGATTCACTTAAAGATATTTTTATTAAAGTTGTTGATAATTTAGCAAAATCTTATAAAAAGAATGCTAAATTTTATAATTCGAATCGAAAAGTCATTTCCTATGACGTTGGAGATATTGTATGGAGGAGAAACTTTGTACAATCCAACGCAATTCATTTCTTTTCTTCAAAGTTAGCACCTAAATTCGTTAAATGCAAAATAATTGACAAAATTTCAAATAATGTTTATTTATTAAAAGATTTTGATAAAAATAGTACTGGTAGATACCACATTAAAGATATTTTGAAAATATAACTTAGATAATTAGACATTTTGTTCATTTTGATAGTTGACATTTGCGGTTTTCACTTTCTAAATTTCACTTTGGTTCTTTTCACTTGCGTTTTGGAAATGGTCGACTTGTGAGATGATGAATGAGAGAAGTATAAAAGGTTGTCGACATATTGAATGGTGATGTATGAGGATTCCTAAAGCGGAGAAATAGAATCTCAGTTTTAAAATTGAATTGGTATCATTTTATTAGGCATGTTTTTGGAAATTAAATTAATTTAATAATATTCTATCTGGCAATTAGATGTTTTAACTCTTTTTGAAGAATTTGATTTTGCTTCTAGCATCATAGGATCTTATCTTAGTTTATTTTGGATCTTCTTATTTTTATAAGATCTCATATTTTTGAGGATTTTATATAGATAACCTTTTGTTTTAAATTTCCAAGTCTTATACGTTTTATTATTAAAGACTTATAAACTTTTGGAGATCCTTAATACTTTATTTCTGGTCTTTATTCATTAACTAGTTTAATGGATTAGAGTTCCTTGTTTCCACGTTTATTCCTTATTAGCTTCTGTTGTTCTTCCACAATAGTCTACTAATAACGTAATAATGTTTATTTCGTTTGTATAAATAGTTGAAGTTTAGGGATTACTATTTAATTTACTATTTTGTATAGTTTGTTTAGGTGTTTGTGTTTAGTCTGTAGTCTTAAGAACTATTACACGGACGCGACTTTTAGACGGACTTTCCCGTTTTACTTTTTCCCAGTCGACTTTCCTCGATCTGTAGGTACTTTTACACCTTTAGGTGTCCCCTTTTCCCCTTTTCCATCAAGTTCATACTTGATTTGGTACAATTTATTTTACAGGTTTGCTAGACATCATTAGAATGTTCTGTGTTTTTCCTACAGCTTTGCTGGAAAAAATTTGTAGTGTTAGTCTTATGACTGACATACTATTTTCCCAGACGATGTTTTATTAATAACTCGTTCTGTTTTTTTTTTCCATTTTCCCAGACGGTGTTTCATTAATAACTCGTTCTGTTTTTTTCCATTTTCCCAGACGGTGTTTTATAGATAACTCGTTCTGTTTTCTTTATGCAGCTATGCGATTATTCTATGTAGGGCGAAGGAGCCGACTACATTGAATCAGTGGTATTCGATAGTGCATTAATTTTGTGATGCATTCATTCTTTTGTAGTGCATTCCTTTTGTATTTTGAAATGCATTCATTTTGTATTAGATTGCATTTAATTTTGTAGTTACTTGATCATTCTATGTAGGGCGAAGGTGCCGACTGCATTGAATCAGTAGTATTCGGTAACACAATACTTATTTTTCCAACTCGATTATTATTGTGTTTGGTAATTTTTGTTTCTGCTCGATAATTTAGTGTAAGGCGAGGGTGCCGACTACTCTAAATCGGTTGAATCGGTAGAACGTTTTTTTTCTCTTTCCTATTCCACACATTTATGTGTTAAGAATTTGAAACTTTCATAAAGTTTATTTTATTAGGAATATTGTTTGTATTCGAATGTTTAGTGTAAGGCGATGGTGCTGACTACTCTAAACCAGAAGCGTTTCAATGCATAACAAGAAATCCTTATATTGGAATATTTTCTGCAATAAATTAGTTTTAATATAACTTTTGTTTTCATATTTAAATTGACTTGCTGTTTTATATGGGGCGAGTGTGCCGACCATATTTAACCAGTTGCATGCCAGTCAATGGAAATTTTATTAGATTATTATAAAGTAATCATTTTTTTTTCTTTCCTCTTTCTTTACTGTTAGGTGTAGTTGGATGTTATAAAAATAACATTCGTTATTTTTATAAAATCTAGTGGGGGGGAATTGTAACGTCGTATTTACGCCGTCACATACATAGATAAATAATATATGGTTTGACATCCGTCACTTAAGGATTTTCCCTATTTTTTTTTAATAAACGAAACACATCTTTAAAAATTGTCTTAATTTCATAAAACATTAAAATAAATACGTAATAATTGTTATTCTAAATTTAAGAAAACTTTTGTAATTTATGGTTAGTCCATGCCCAAATTTAAATTTTAATGCGCCAACACTGAGACTCGCGGCGTTTTTGGAAGTGCGACCTGGCAACATTACTTTTCGGTTCTTTGCAGGCACGAACAGTCACTTTTAAAAATGTGAAATATAATAATAATTTATAGTTCGGTTTCTTTTTCCAAAAATGCGCTCATCGCATTTTTGCAAACTAATATTGGTGCCAATGGCCCATTAGTAAAACTTTAAAAGAGCTGCGATTGCAGCTCTTTATGTGATCTTTATACTCTTTATCTTGTCTTTATCATCTTTAATTTTAATGATATCTTTATAAATATCATTTTGATATCTTTGACCATGGACCAGCCATAATAGTCTAAGTAAATCCAATACTTAATGTACTTTGACGCCTGGAATCCAATCTGGTATGTACACTTTCACAATAAATAATTGAAGAGGAAAACACCTTTATCATTCAACCCTAGTCAAAACTGCCTTTGAGATTAAAAGCTGATGTTCCCGTAAGTTATTCCGGACACCTGGAGACGCTACCAGCTTCCCGGCGCCCGTTACGACTCTCACTTTAAATGGAAGCTGAGAAGCTAAATCGGCTACCATCACCCGGCCATCGCCTCCAGAATTTTTCGTTCTTTTTTGAAATAACCAACTAAATAAATAGTTTACACAGTTTTTTAATTTTTTTACCTTACAATAGTTATAAATCAAAAAGTTCATTAAAAATTATAATTTTTTGAATTTATCCTTTTGAATACTTGTTAATGTTCTCAGTTACGTATATCACTAAAACTTAAAAGCTAATGTCCTCCACCAGAAGAAGCACTTAACATTCATGCATCAATGCTGTCTGGAAATGCCTTCGCTTGCTTTGCAACAGGTGGCAGAGGCGTAACGGTAACCACTGGCATGTTGGGGCATGCTGACAACAAAATGCGAGGCAGACGCGAGAACAACTGACACTTGCCTAGATGTGCTCTTTTGTGAGCGGTGTCCGTTCTCAGTGGTTTTGAGCCGCGCTCTAAGTTCGGAACTGGTTCCATTTTCAGGGGGAGCACTCTGGGCCGCGCTTCCTACTCTCGCTGATGACCGTGTTTTAACCATTGTTGACGTGCGACCATCTCATGTCAACTGAAATTCACGAGTCCGAAAACGGACAAACTATCATAAGACAACTATACAAACTGAATGCTTTTCTGGAAAATTTCTTCAACGTTGAGAACATAACAGCACTGCTGGTCTCCTTATTTCTCTTATACCACAAACTGGAATGAAAAATATGGGAAATGGGTCCAAATGACATCTGCAATTGAATAATTACTAAAATTTTAGTCATCAATGGTTAAAACATGTCTTACAGCTCTAGCTAACGTCTAAAAAAACCACAAATGTCCTCATTTGTTCAGAATGGTTTTGGAACAATGTTGGCGGTCCAATTTTAAAGAAAATTATTCCACTGCAGCTGTGAAGGAGCAGAAGTCGCTAAGGAGAGAAAGAACATTAACAGTGTTCGTAACTTATCAATTTCACAGTAGTTCTAAGACAGGAGATATGTAAGAGAAATAAGATGACTGTCCTGTCAATGAAATTTTCCAGAATGTTTCATAGAAATTAGTTACTATGAATAATAGTAATAAAAGGCACTTTGAAGTAAATTTATCTCGCAAAATAGGGAAAGCATTAGGACCACCTAAAGAATCTAAATTTGTAATATCTTTATAATGACAATGACACTACCAACAAGTTATGTACTATTTAAAAATTTTTGCTGACACTATGAATAATTTCCAAATTTCTTCATAAATTCATTAAATACATTCAAAACCATGCTGTTAGTCAAATAATAATAATAAAAAATATAATAATATTAAAAGCAATTAGTATTACTCATAACAAAAAATAGCAAATTACACATGTACTATCTAAGATTATATCCATCAACATTATATGAAAAGAAAAAATAGTTTTACTATAAATCAATATTGATCAATTGATTATGATGAATTTAAGAAATGCCATTGAAAATTATTTTATCAATAGAATGAATAAATATTGGATCGACTGGCAAACTTCTTGAGCATCGACCATAGACAAGGAAGGTTGCGCAGGAACAATTTGACATACAAGAATGTCAACTGCACAAGTTTAAATGTCTGTGGTAGTGATGTAACAAATGTCATTTTTGAGTGCATTAGGGCAATATGTGGAATCCCGCCAGACCAATCATGTAGACCATTATTTGAAAGTCTTGGATTGTTGCCGCTGCCATCGCTGTACATATATGAATTAGCAGTGTTTGTCCACGGGCACAAGCAGTTGTTCAAGAGGGTTAATAATTTCCGGCTTAGAGACCCTTACAGAATGATATTTAATGAGGTCCCAAGGTCTGACAAATATAGGAAAAGTTGCTTATGCCTTTGTGTCGAGATCTATAATAAAATCCCTCCCGACATAAAAATGCTAAATATGAACATGTTTAAAAATAAATTATATAAATGGCTAAATGAAAACAATTTTTATGACCTAAAAAGTTTTTCAATTATAAAAATTAATGACATGTTGTAACTTATCCTATAATAATTATGATAAATGTATCTTTTTAATTTTTTTATTTTATATCTGACATTTAGAAATCTTGTAATATTAATATGTTGACATTGTATATTTTATTGACATAATATTAGGTAACTCTGACATTCATAATTCTACAGAAAAATGTTATAATTAATTAATCTCTTTGTTTTATTGGTTCCATAATATTATGTATTTGCATGCTATTTTTAAAATGGCAAAACACGTGCTCAAACCGTTATGTAATACCTATATACCGTGTTTTTAGCAAATAAAGATTATAATTTATGATCATTTGCAAATGCGAGTTAGAAGAGTTTGTTTTTGTTTGTTCACATTGCATTATTTCTATTGTTTTTTAAGTTCTAATAAAAAGTTTATTGTTAAGCTTCATTGCCCTAATATAACAATTGACAATTGTTAGAAAATATATAAATTATGCCAAATGCCAAAGTCAAGGCTAATAATGTGATTATGAGGTTAATTTATTTTTTCTTGCTTGCTTGCTTTATTAAAAAACATAAGAAATTAATGGATTTTCATTTTATGAACATACTATTATCTTCAAATTGTTTTTTTTTTTTATAATATTCATATTAGCAAAACATTCGCAGAAATTTTGCGAATATTCGTTACATCACTAGTCTGTGGTTTTGCTTAAGAAGTTTGCCGCTACCTATACTCAGTATGATTATGATAATACAAAGTCAACTCAGTTTTTCCTCTTGAAAAAGTTGATTTTATTTCAATTACCTGGGTTTTCACTGTACAATATTGATTATGATGATTGTAAGAAATGCCATAGAGAATTATAGTATCAAAAACATGAATGAATATTAGATAGATACTCTATATAATTCACTTACAACTAAAAAACCAAACTAATGACTACAAAATACAATTCTTTATTTATAAAGAAGTGTGTTAAAAAGAGCTCTGAACTCAGTTACTGCTGATTACAGTATAAATAACAGAAGATGCCATGCTTTGGATAATAATAAGACTATTTAATAAAATATTTTAGTTTCTTATGCACTGAGTAGTTGTAATATTATGCTAAAATATATTGACGGATTATACCTCTAAAAAATAAATTACCTTGAGAAGACACAACATAATAGATATTTCTGAATTTCCTCCAAAACTTTCTAGTGCTTCTATATCGAATTATTTAGGGTGGATTTGATTAATAAGAAAAACAGAGATTTATGATGAAAAAATTAATTAATGCTATTGTAATTACTCTACTCCAAAGACCACGTTTAAACGCGAGGATAGCAATAATTCGTATAAAGTGCCGCAAGCCTAATGCACCTTCAAACCTCTGGAAATCATTGTTATGGGTAACTAAAATACTCTACGCCGTGTCTAATTCTACGGGAGTATTTTAATTAAATCTATGAGTAAACAAACTACATTATTTCGAAGAACGTATACATTTTTAGCAATATGGAAGTCAGTGTACTTACAGCTTAGAATTACTTACCATGATATCGCGTTGCCGTAATCGTAATATCTGCTCATATTATAAACTAGTTTTATAAATTACACTGACATTTATATCATTAAAAAAACTCTTTACGATTGTCTATCTCTCAAAACGCCATAACTTGACGCTTGAATCGTTCAACAGCAGTAGCGCGAGCGACGAGCGGCCACATTGGACATAGACAACATTTTTTTATTTTACTAGTTCATGTGTCTTAACTTTACGACTAGGTAGTCTCCTTTTTAATTTACTTTTATTAAACACAGTTTCAAGTTTCTCAGAAGTCCGTAACTTTGCAGGTTAGCCAATTTTATTTTTAAGAAATAGGTATATCTCAATTATAACTGAGGTACATAACTCCACAGCAGGAGTAGCATCAAGCCGTTAGAAATATAAAGCTAAACTTACTCGATACATGAGACTATCCATAAACAAAAAAGTTGCTTGCTCCCACTATTTTCCGTTTCCTAGTTAATAATGCTGTGCCTTGCCCATAAAGCATCACTCAAATCGATGCGTTCGCTTAGCCTCTAGAATTAGGCGAATCCAGCGCGACATTATATTTGGTTACTCAATAAGAAAACATGTCTTTTGATATCGAAGCTGAGGTTTTCTTGTTATAAGCAAGCAGCTGAAGAAGAATCTTAAGATGTGAGGAAGAAAAGAAGAAAATAGGTTAATGAGCTTAGTACTCAAAGAATAGTGCCCATTTTTGACCTGAAAGCCTACTCTATTTCAACGAAAAACGAAATTTCGATCGGAATTTCGCACGTTCCTTACTCTGTTTCTACTTCATTTCGAAAATTCGTTTGTCCGAGAATAGTTTGACATTTAAATTCTCCAAGCTTACTCTAATTCACAAAACTTTTGAACTAAAAGTTGAATTTGACAGATAATTCTTCGAAATTTTAATCTCAAATTGACGAAACGAAAAGTGTTAACTACCTTTTCATTTTCGTTTTGGGATTTTTGTTTAAATTAAACCTTAAATTACTCTAGAGTATTTTTAATTAAGGCTGCTTAGCGTGAGGAACATTTTTTAGTATGAAAAATTTACAAATAAATAAAATTCTTGTGTAATATTGTATTGCCAATACTTCAAAGTATGACACGACAAATTTAGGTTGACATACATTCGATTGCATCAACTCTACAAATTAATCGGCTAACACTGTCAAAAGAGATTGTTTTAATGTTATTAAAAAAATGTCATAAACTAATATTGTTTTGAAGTAAAAAACGATAATTAAAAAGAACTCACAAACATAACTCATTCCATTCGTTCACGTTAATTGTCTGTGATTCCGAACTTTATGCGTGTTCGATAATGAAATAGTCACTGGCGAAATTTCGTTTCAGAGAAAGAGAGTAGAGCTCCTGATCATGTATAGAGATGACATATACGTTAAAATAAAGCTAATTTAATTATAAGTTTATTACATAAGCATAGTGGTAAAAGAAACGTAGGAAAAAAAAGATTTTTTATTATTTTAATATGTTTACTGTATGTGTAACAGTTTCCGAACGCACTTCAACTATCCAGTGTTTTTTTTTTTTAACTATCCAGTGTTTGCAAAACGGATTTCAAAACATCTGAACACTTCTCAGTGTTGCTAGAGCAAAAAATAAATATAATCTAAAAAACTATTCATTTTTCCTGCGTTTAAATCGTGGGAATGATTATAGGATATTATTTTCCTAATTTATACGTAATCTTTTCAGTATTCTTTATATTTATACATTAACTTTCATAATCAGATTTTCAAATGTATGGAAAGGGGGTATTGTTCTTTTGGATCTGAAGAGCTTCACACTTAAACACATTACGAAAGTTTAAAAATGATTGAGTATTATATTTTCAAAACGTTTCTCTGGGCAATATGGCGTCTCACTGGGGTGTGACGTCACATGACTGTCATTATATCGTCAAACGATACAATGTATAATACGATTGAACTAAGAATAGGACCGATTGGGCGCCATATTTTGACGTCATAGCTGTCAATTCAAACCAAATGGGTAGTGAGGAAAAAAAAGATTTTATTTAATAAAACTTTTAACTAAGATTAAGTGAGAAAAAAAATCAGATTTTTTTATTAAAATATTTACTAAGATTGAGAAAAAAAAACATCTATTTTTTAATAAATATTTATTACGACTGTGTGAGAAAAAACATAAATCAGAATCTAGCTCTTCACTTCCGCTTATCTCTGCATTACCGCCGGAGCAGTAATGAATAATCATGCACTATTACTAGGTCACATACGAACATGCATCCTTTAGGTAAACGAAAGTTTTAAATTGAGTTTCTAACCGCACCTTAAAGTGACATTTGGTTGACGGTTTAGGTTATCAACCATTCATAGCCAAAGCTCAATAAATGAAAAAAAATATCAACCAATATTAATTATCAATATTTGTTATTGTTTGTTTACAAATGTGTAGTTTTTAATCTAGAATTAGCAGAGTGCTAAAAAAGGGTTCCAAGGTTTTTTTTGCAAACGGTACTTTTTAAGCGAAATTTGACAGTTAGAGGTCATTGGCTTTCCTATTCTTATTTGAATCGCATTATAATGTCACTTTGACCGGAAGTTTACTAGTGTGTGACGTCATTTTAAGCTTCGCCAATCCCAGGCGTTTTCAATCACGTGACAATAGATATGAAAATGCCGAAAGTCGGGATGAAAGCACCCGAGAGTCTTTTTCGTGGGTTTTTAGCAAAATTATGAATATTTTTTCTGCAATTTTAGTAAAACCCCCTATAACCCCCTAGCCAATATTCATTCTAAATACAGATGCTAACAATTTGCACTTTATTTTTAATACTGTCAAATACCCTAGCAAATAATAGTAATAAAATAATATACTTAATACACGAGTCAAAATAATAAACTTTTATTTTCGGTATTTTTATTTTCAATAATTAAAATTCCATAGGGGAAGACCGATGCCTTCAAATCATGAGTCATGCATGACTTCCTGGTTTCTGACGATACTCTTGAAAATAAAATCAATATGTAATGAGTTCACTCCACCGCTAAGCCACTTTCACGTTTTTCAAAACATATAATCGTATATTGTTTTCTTTCTTATTAGGTACCTATTATTTGTATCTCATTATCTACCCCGGATTATTTTCAGAAAAAAAATATAGGCCGTAAATAAACTTTTTGGATAAAACATTTAATAAATCGTGAATAACATAACAAATTATAATTCGATTAGCAAAAGTATAGATCGGCACATCACTAGCTAAATGTATGAAACCGATACATCTCGACGTGTCCGTGATACTAGCGTACACACGATCAATATGTTTTTTCGTTGTGCTATTAAATACTGCGTAAATACATAGTTCCGAATTGGTGTAAAAATAGTGCCCCTTTAATTTAAGAAATTAAGACCCGTTTTACTGTGTACGCTAGCATGACGTCAAGCTAGCGTACCCATGGCCGTCCCCAAGAACGGCATATATTTAAGCAACGAAATTGACTCACAAAAATAGTTCACAAATAGTGCCCTGGCTTTACAAAATTTCATAATCAATACTCTTAAAGGACCAAAGATATTGAACTAAATATTCTTAGCTGGCGTCCACCTGGCGTACCCATAATAATTCTCATAGAAAATGAGCTTTTCTCGTTATCAATGCTATATGTATAAATAGTGTGTCAAATAGTGCAGTCAAACAATATAAAAGCAATTAAGTTATTTTCATGTATAAAGTACAGTCATGTACAGAAGTGATAATATTTTCGTAGTATAGTAGGTAAGTAAGGTCTTAGTAGGTAGGTTGAAATTCTTATATGAATTTATGATTGGTGAATGGATAAAATATCCTTTATAAAAAGTTCCTATTTATTTTAATAAAAATACATAAGTATATATTTATGATCACTTTAATTATGATAAGTATTCTCACTCTTTTGTGTAGGTACTTTAAATTTTTCTTAAATTTAAATAATTATTTTGTTTAATCTATAGATCTGTATGATCATTTATATATTAAATCACAGTATAATTTACAGAATTCACAGCTAAGTTATGTTTGCACATTGACTGTAGTTCAGTGCCTCTAGAGGTATTTCAACTGGATGGCATCCCCCTACAGGGGAAGTCTCCTCTCCGTCTGGGGCCTCTAGACCACTCAAACCTGAGGAGGTCGGCACAACTAGAGGGCGTCTCTGAGACTCGGACCTCGGCTCTAGTTAGCCGTTGCCGTGGGGGGCGAGGAAAAATGGCGAGATATATACCTATGCCTTGTATAGCGTGCCGTGTGAGACCGTGTCTTCGAACTAAAGCTAAGCTATTGTGCAAGTATGCTAGCTATGTAGTGTTGTTGTTTGTGGCCTGTGTGGGAGGAGTCGGAGGCGCGTTGGCGCGGTTATTATAAGACGTGCTTAGGCCGACGGAATCGGAGAGACGTACGATTGGAGGTTCGCCGCGATAACGAAACGAAAATCTGTCGTGGCACAGACTACTTGCCACCGATTGCTTCAGAGCGGTGGTACGCGTATGACGCGTACAACACGACATGAAAATGTGTATATACGCGTGGCTCGTGGCTAGGATTACCAACCCTACTTTTTAGTGGTGCAACTAACAGGTGCTTTTATAGGGGATCAATAGGTCGCAACTCGCGATGTATCAAACAATTGAAACACGTCTTTTTCGTTATTCCTTCACTTAATCCGGGATAGCTTCTTAAATACTGACTTGATTTTAATGAATTCGGTATCAGTTTAAAGTTAAGAGTTGAACCTTTAAAATGATGGCATTTTTATGATTATTAAAAGAATATAGAGTACACAAGATCGCACAGAACCAATTTCAAGTAAGTGATTCCAGACTTTTGCTCGCGAGTGTAGTAGAACAGTTACAACAGTAAACGTACTACGCCCCCTAGACATGAAAGTTGATCTATATCGTTTACAAAAAAACTTTTATGTCAAAAATAAAAACCGACTTCAAATCAAACCCACTAAAATCAAGAAAAAGTAGTTTTTTATTTGTTAAGAATTTTTAATTTTTTATAAGCCAGAGCAACATCAACATACTAAATATAGATGTCTCGCCACTCTTTCAAACAAAAAAGAATCATCAAAATCAATCCAAACCTCTGACAAATGCGCGAACAACAATAAATAATATATAATGATGAATTGAGAACCTCCTCTTTTTGGAAGTCGGTTTGAAAATATCCTTTAACGTCGATCCTAAAGAAGTAGTTTTATTTGAATAATGACAATTTAAATTGTTAGTTTCTCAATTGCACAATTATTGAGTTAACGTGGAGACACTTTTCGAAAAAAATACACATGAAAGAGAGAAACCATGTTTGTAGTTATGGATTTTATTACATCAGCAGTGTTTGT